GAAGTCCGCGCGGGCCTCCGAGTTTCTGTATACGCCACTGCTTGTTCGCCTGTACTCGACCCCCGAAGACTGTGCCGCGAAGTATCCCAGGCTCCTCGGCCAAGGCCGGGCGGGCTGCAAGAGCACGGGGGCATCTGGTCGCGTGGGGGTCGGGGCGGCCCCTCGGACGGAGGGGGGCAGGGCGGGGCCGTGCCCCCAGGTCCCCAGATTCCCATGAAAGTGGTAAACTCCAGGATTTCCAAGATTGGCCAGCGTCCCACACGGGCTGCAGGAACGAGGGCCGCCAGCATCCAGAGCCGATCTCGTCGTCGCCGCCCCTTCCCCCTCTCGCCCCTGGTCTTGCGTGCTCCCGTCCCCGCACCGCCTTCTCCCTGGCCCAGGGCTGGACCTCAACGCTGCGTTGCTGGACGTCGGCCGGTTCTGTTTTTCGTTGTGGCAGGAAGGTGCAGGACAACGGGCAGAGCAAAACGAACAACGAAACGAAAACATGACGACAGACAGCGTCTAGGTAGGTCCAGCCCTGCCTTGGCCATGCGATCGTTTTCTTATTCATTGTTTTGTCGATCGGCGCGGGCCCTCGCACCGAGTGGTTCTTGGCTGTTTTTTGGCGCCTGCTTCAAGCAGGTGGAGCTTCTCCCCCACAGGATACTGTTGCAAGCAGTCGCACTAAGCAGAGGTCCGTAGCCATACCCCCCCCTTTCCGCCCAATGTCGAAACGGCGAACAAGAATAAGCGGGCGAATAACGGTATAAAATACATGTTTCCGCCGTCGGGGACGCCTGCCCCTGGGCGGCTGGAAAGTTTCTACCTTTACGGTGCCACCGTAAGGGCATAGATTGTCCAGCCGCCATGGGACAGGCGCTCCCCACAGCGAACAAAACATAATTTACACCGCTCTTCGCCCGTGAAAAGAAAACGTACATTAGGTCCAGCCTTGCCCTGGAGGGGAGGAGGGAGGAGGGAAGAGGAGGAGGAGGACGAAGAGTAGGAGGAGGAGGAGGAGGAGGAGGAGGAGGAGGAGGGGGAGGAGGAGGAGGACGAGTGCAAACCAGTCGGGAGGCCTCTTGTCTCGCAGCGGGTGGGCGCTGGTCAACGACACGAACGCCACCCGCTTCGCGCCAAACGAGCCCGGCCGCCTTCCCTGGCTGGACGGCGCGGCGACGCGCGCGCAGAACCGGCCCCTGGCAGAGGACCTCTACTTGTTGTTGGGGGGAGGGTAGGAGGAGGAGGAGGAGGAGGAGGAGGAGGAGGAGGAGGAGGAGGAGCATTATCAGAATACTAATAACCATTATTCTAGTAATGGTCATACTAATAGTAATACTAATATTAATAAGACGACGAAGAAGAGGAGGAGGAGGAGGAGAAGAGGAGGAGGAGGAGGTGGGCAGCTCCCGAGCATCCTCGCGATGCGCGCGCGGCCGGCCCCTGGCAGAGGACCTCTACTTCCTCGGCCCCGGCCTCGACTTCGCGCTGGGCCTGGCGGCCTGGGCCGCCGTGAGCGGCCCCCCCGCCCTGCCGCCCATGCTGGAGCGGGCGGGGGGCGGACGTGGGGCATCTCAGAGAAGACCCTCGGGCTTCTCTGAGATCCTGCGCGAGCCAGAGACTGAGCCCCGAGACGTCTTCGCAGCGTCTGGCCGCCATTGCTGGCCGAGGTGTCAGGAAGCCGCCCCGACAGGGAAGCACGGGCCGCCCTGGGTCCGGCCCCGCCGCGGCTCGACATGCCGCGCGCCTTGACGGAAACCCTGCGCCTGCCTGGATCTAAAACGACGCGAAGATCGGGACAGAATCGGATCGGGATAAAACTCGAAATCTCTGAGAATCGGCGGGTTTGGAGGCTGTATTGGGCGCCGCGGCCGCTCCAGAGCGTTCCGGAACGCTCTGAGAGCGCTCCAGAACGCTCTGGAGCGATATATCCCGATCCTAGCCTTGTTTTAATCACGGGCTCCTCGGGCGATGGCAAACACGGGTTCGGGGGGCCCTCTTCGGGGGACTCCTGGGGCCTTCTTGGAACACCTTCGGGGGGCCTCCTGGGCCGTCTGTGGCCCACTTCGGGCGCCTCGGAGCGACCTCTGGGCGGCCTGGCGCCAGCTTGGACCGCCTTTGGGGGGCCTCTCGGGCCCCCCTCGGCCCGCCGGGGGGCCCTCCTGCTTCTGGAGGAGTCGCGCAACATGGATTCAGGGGGGCGTGGATGCGCGACGGGTCCCGTTTCGAGTCGCGGATTCCCACCGCCGAGCGAGGCGGCACCGGCCGCCTTCTGGGGAGGGCACCTCCCCCGATCTCCCTGGATTTGGCGACGGGTTCTCGGGTATAGCCAGGAACCCAGGTAAGGGGGCCCGTTTGGTGGCAGGGCCCTGGCGCCCCTAAAAATGTGCCAGCATCACTGAACCATGTCTTCCGTAACTGGTGTTTTTTTTTTTTGTTTTTCCGGAGGACACCAGGCAAGGGGACCCGGTCAGTGGTGTAGGGCCCCCAGGAGCTCCTAAATGGGCCAGAATCATTGAACCATGTCTGCCACGGTGGAGGAGGAGGAGGAGGAGCGAGGAGCGAGGAGGAGGAGGAGGAGGAGGAGGAGGAGGAGGAGGAGGAGGAGGAGGATGAGGAGCGAGGAGCGAGGAGCGAGGAGCGAGGAGCGAGAGGAGAAGGAGGAGGAGGAGGAGGAGTTTTCGGGTCACGGCAGCTCCAGTCGGTGAAACGGGGCGGAGGGGCGTCCCCCGGCACACATCCCTAGACCAGGTCCCACCAGACCCCGTTTCTGCCAACACCCGAGGCCAGTCAGAATTCATGACCTCCTCCCCTTCTCCTCCTCCTCCTCCTCCTTCCTCCTCTCTCTCCTCCTCGCTCCTCCTCCTCCTCCTCCTCCTCCTCCTCCTCCTCCTCGCTCCCACTCCTCCTCCTCCTCCTCGCTCCTCCTCCCCCTCCTCCTCCCCTGGCCCCGAGCGTGGCCCGGGGAGCCCACACCGAGGCCGACCGCACGACGGCACGCGCCCGCCCCCGAGGCTCCGCGCCGCGAGGCGCGCCGCGCGCGCCCTGCGCGGCGGGCGGCGGGCCCCTCGGGGCGCGGCCCCCCCAGGATTCTCAAGGCTTCCAGGATTTCCCCATGCTCCGACTGTTCCGCACAGGCTGCGCCGCCAGATGCTCCAGGCAGTCATGCAGCGTATCCTGAGCCAACCTTGGCGTGGCATCATTTTCGTCCTTGTTAGAGACGGGGCCTCACGGGGCTCACTTCGACTCCTCCAGCTCGACTCGATTCGACCTCGATCGGTTCCGGTTCCGATTCCTGCTCGGCTTCTGATTCTGATTTGGTTTCCAGTTTCACTGGAGGTCTCAATAGTTTGCCGAGTTCCGCCGATTCGATTTCTCCCAATCTAGCTGCCCGCTTTCAGCCGATCCGATTTTTTCGATCGCCGATCCGATTTGTCGATTCGATGTTGTGCTCTCCTGGGGAAGTATACCACTGTGACTGTCTACAATTTTCGTTCCGTGTCCCCTCTGGGCCGCTTCTCAAGAGGGGCATTGATTGCCGAATCTTCCCCCAGCCTCCTCCAACTCCAATGGCAGCTCTCGGCGTCTGGTTCTCTCACTACACGGTGTTCTCCGCGGGCGACTACTTGAAGAACGTCGTTGAGGGTTACGAGTCAAGAGGTTTGCCACTGAACATGGCGGTGCTCGATGTTCCGTGGCATTACGACCGGTACAACGCTACGATGCAACACATGTGTAACAATTGGGGTGGCTTCACACCAAACGCGACGCTATTTCCAGACATGCCTGCCTTCCTTGACGAAATGCACGCGAAAGGTTTGAAAGTGGTCCTGAGCAATCACATGCAGGTTGGCATCAGCCCGTGCGAAGAGCATTATGAAGATCTCGCATTTGCTTTGGGGAAGTCGCCAGAATTTGTGAAGAGTCGCGAGACAATCGCATGTGCTTTAGATAATAGGACATGGGTAGAGGCTTTTTTCAGAGTCGTGCTTGATTCACCAACCCTTCGTTCTGTAGATTACTGGTGGAACGATTTCCCAGGCTGTGCTACGAACGTCACAGGGTGGGACGGACAGGCTGGATCGACAATGTTTTGGGCAGATTACGTGTTCGATCTGTATCGAAGACCCTTACGGCGAACAACCACCGACTCCTGCATCATTTGACCAAATGTTGTGCCACAATTTGGCCAAACTATTGGACTATGTGCTCTTCCTGCCGCTGTTTGCCAAACACCTGTGAGGTTCAGGGGGAGAGCGGAAGGAGGATGGAGAGGGGAGGAGAGGAGAGAGAAGGAGAACACGGAGAAGAAGAAGGAGGACGCCTCCTGGGGCCTTTTTGGGCCTCCTCGGGGCCATCTTGGGGGTCTCCTAGGGCGCCTCAGAGCCGTCTTGGCTGTCTCTTGGGCCAGCTTGGGGCCCTCCTTGGGACCGTCTCGGAGGTTCCTTGGGACGTCTTGGGAACCCCTCGGAGGATTTTTCAGCCGTCTTGGGACCCAGATGGGGGACCTCTTGGGCCGTCTTGGTCCGTTGAAGTCTGGAACGGCGCGACCGCAGGCATCTGTCGAGCACCTACGAACATCAGCGAGTTCGGCCTCTTCGGGCTCTTCTGGGAGTCCTCTTGGAGGTCTTTGGTGGATCTTGGGCCCTCTTGTGTACACTTGGGGCCGTGTTAGGGTGATCTTGGGTGCATCTTGTGCCGTCCTGCCGCTAAGACCAGGAAGCCTAAATCGTGTGAATATCGGGGCTCAAGAGACGGGGGTCAGTGCAGACGGGGATCAGCCAGGGCCCCGGATCCTGCAGGATCCTGCGAAGACCCCCTCTGGCTGACCCGGGCTAGCGAGCCGCTCGTGGCCGCGAGGCGGCCGCGCCTCTTGGCTGACCCGGGTTTGCGAAGCCCTGGGTTGCATTATTTTTTCTCCTGCATTGCAGTTTTTGGTTTCCCGCTGACCCGGGTCTGGATTGACCGGGTCAGAAGATCCCCGAGAATAGTGTAGTTACACCGGTTGGTTCTATCATTTGTGCCAGTAATGTGTTGGCCCTTCGGGCCAGCCCTCAGGGCCTCCAAGACGGCTCAAGGAACGCCTGATAGGTCTCACGGGCGGTCCCCGAGGCCACTGTGCCCGCTGGAAGAGTGGGATTTCAACCGTTGCCCCGAGGTCTCTGAAAACGTCACGCGTGGAATTACAATCAGGAGGGGAAAAAACACAGACACAATTAATCGTAGACTCCCCAGAAAATATAGGAAAATATTGAAATTGGGGGGGAAGACAACAACCCAGAAAATATGGGAAAATATGCGGAATATTTTTATCTGTGTGTATTTATGTGTGTGTCCTGGGGCCCCTTCATACAAGGGCGCCTGGAGACCGTGTCCCTGAAAGAGCACTTACGACATTCCTTACAGAGAACTCAAAGAGACCTGAGGACTGGCGCCGTGACTGGCCGCACGGTGGCGGACCAGCGTTTGAAAGGTAAGCGGTCCGTGCTCCTCTCTCGCTATGGTGGCTTAGGCTCGCAGCGCCAGGGAATTGGATTCTCAGGCGATGTATTTCAAAATTTCAGCACCCTTGCTGCAGAGGTTGAACTCACTCCGACGTCATCCAATGTTTTGTTTGGCTGGTGGAGTCACGACATTGGTGGCTTCCACAACGGCACCGACGACAAAGGCGACAATGACCCAAAAGCTGAGGGTGCTGCAGAATTGTTTCTTCGCTGGGTCCAGTTTGGCACGTTCAGTCCCATCTTCAGGACGCATGGTCAGCCAGAAGCGGATCGTTACCTGTGGGAGTTCTCAACGTACCCTTTAATGAGGGAATTGGTGATACTTCGAAATGCGATGGTGCCACACATCTACACGCTGGCGTGGATAGCTCACCGCTCTGCGATCTCGGTCGTCAGGCCAATGTACTACGCCTTCCCGGAGGCAGAGGAGGCATACAGGTTCAAAGGCCAGTACATGTTCGGCCCGGACACCCTGGTCGCGCCGATCGTGTCAGCTGTCACGAAGCCGAACGGGACGGCCGCGAAGGACATATGGCTGCCCCCGTCACCCGCCCCGTGGCTCAGCTGGGACGGCCGGGCCGCCTTCCGCGGAGCGTCGGTGCGGACCCTGTGCTTCGGCCTGGCAGACCTCCCCGTCTTCGTGCGGGCGGGCACCGTGATGCCCACGCGGACCGCCGCCTCCTCTCGGGCGGCGACGGCAGACCCCCTCGTCTGGGTCGTCTGGCTGGGGGGCGACGGCGCGCAGACCGAGGGCTCCGGCACGCTCTACGAGGACGCAGGAGACCATTTTGGTTTAGGCTCCGGCTTGTTCGGCGGCGAGCGAGGGGGGGGCACGAGAAGGAGAATGAACGGGCGAGGAACGGCATAGAATGAACTTTCTCGCCGTCGGGGACACCTGCCCCTGGGCGGCTGGGAAGTTGATACCCTCACGGTGGCACCGTAGGGGTATAAGCTTCACGGCCGCCCAGGGGCAGGTGTCCCCGACAGCGAAAAAGTTTATGTTATACCGTTCTTCGTTCGCTGAGAGAAAGGCGGCGGGACTTCTCAGAAGCCCTCTGGCCTTCTGAGAGGTTTTTTTTGTGTCGTCGGGGAAGGCAAGAGGAAACTTTGCAGAAGACCAGGGGAAGTCCGAGCCTGCTGAGAAGACCCGCCCCTTCTCACTTCCCCCGGGCTCGCCGCCGACTGGGAGCGGTCGTCACTTGGGCAAGCCCGGGCATCGGAAACGATCCTTTGTAGGCGGGTTGGCTTGGACCCCCCACCCACATGCTGGTGCTCGCGAGCGTACAGTCTGGCCGCTGAAGAAGGAACCCTTTTCGTTGGGGAGGGGCTCAGTGTTCCTTGATTGTTTTACAGTTTGTCTTAGTTTGTCCCGAGGTTTTCTGTGGGAAGTCGAAGTTCAACTGATTGAGAAAGTGGCCTCGTTTCTTATTTAGGGGTCCTTCTGACAGCGTTTCGACTGCACTATGGATCGCATCGCACCCCCGTCACGATGTGCCCCACCCCCTGTCCGAGCGTTACCCTTACCGTGGGCCCAAGTCATCGCTTGTGGTTCTCGCAGTAAGGGCGCGTACCCTTCCCATCCCATCTTTCTTTCCCCGCCATTTGTTTCCCGTCGGTCCGTCCTCGGTTTGGTGTTGAACCTCTCTTCCCTCGTCCTCCCTCCCTCTCTTCCCTCGCCCTCCCTCCCTCTCATCCCCTCTGTCTGCCAGGCGTGTATTCGCCTCGCCATGCATTGTGGCGCTCTGACAATGCTTAACTGTTCTGGACCCACGGCGATGACAGCAGGCAGCACGGTCCCCACCGGTGAACGATTGGCAGCGGGAACCGCAACGAAACAATTTCCCCAGCGTCGACCCCAAATGCGAAAACGCGAAGCACAACTGGCCCACAGCGCCGGCAGAGGTCTCAGCCCCTCCAGAGGGGCACAGTCCTCGTGAGAGTCGCCACTTTCGGAGAGGCCAGGGCGCCCGAGGCAGCTTCCTCGTGAGGGTCGCCACTTTCCGAGGGCCAGGGTGAAGTCGGGCGTGTCCCTCTACAGGAGGAATTTAAAAACTGTCAAGCAATAGTCTGGAGACTATTTTGTTGACTGTCTTTACTTCTTTGGGGGGTAATTATTCTCTTTGAGTATTTTTTGATTTTACACCCAAAATCCCCCTGTAGGGGGACACGCCCAACGTAAGGCCAGGGTGCCCGAACCACAGCTGGCCCACGGAGCCGGCCGAGGGCTTCAGTCCCTCCACTGGGGGCACCAGCCTCGTGAGGGTCGCCACTTTCCGCGGGGCCAGGGCGCTCTACCCACAACGGGCCTACAGAGCTGGCAGAAGGCTTCAGCCCCTCCAGAGGGCCACCGCCCTCAACGTCTCACACGAGGACGCGAAGTTATTCGCGCTTCGCGGTCCTCTTTCCTTCTCCCCTCCTCGTCCTCCTTTTCTCCCTTTGGGGGGGCGGCGCGAGAACGCGAAGTTATTCGCGCTTCGCGGAGCGCGAAGCGCGAAGCTGGGAGCCCTAAGCCCTCGTGAGGGCCGCCAGTTTTCGAGACGCCAGGGCGCCCCAACCACAGCTGGCGGAGGGCTTCCGCCCCTCCAAATGGGCACCATCCCAGTGAGGGCCGCCGTGATTCGAAGGCCCAGGGCGCCCGAAGCACAACGGGCCTACAGAGCCAGCAGAGGGCCTCGGCCCCTCCAGAGGGCCACCGCCCTCGTGCGGGTCGCCAGCTCTCCAGGGGCCGGGGCGCCCGAACCACAGCTGGCCCACGAGGGGCGCGATTCTTTCAGAGGCCAGGGCGCCCCGACCACGGCTGGCCTACCGGTCCGCCCCCCCAGAGGAGCAGCATCCTCGGGAGGGTCACGATTTTTCGGAGGCGCCCGAAGCACAGCCGGCCCACAGATCTGCCGGAGGACTGCAGCCCCCTCCAGAGAGGCACCGCCCCTCTGTGAGGGCCGGTAGCTTTCGAGGGGCCTGGGCGCCCGAACCACAAGTGGCCCACAGAGCTGGCAGATGGCTTCCCGCCCTTCCAGAGGGGCCCCGTCTTCGTGAGGGTCGCCGCGTTCGGAGGCGCCCGAAGCACAATTGGCCCACAACAGCAACCACGACAACATCAAACACACGCACATCAACAACAGCAGCAGCAACAACAACATCACCAATTATCCCAGCAAGGCAACCTAACAGCGATGTGTAGAAGCATATCTGAAAGCATTCCCCTTAAGATTCAGATGAAAATCCAGTTGTAGAATTCTGCTGTTCTCGCAGTCGTAGTCGCATTCGCGATGACAGTCGCAGCGGCAACGGCAGTCGCAGTCACAGCCTCAACCTCAGCCTCAGCCTCAGCCTGCCTCAGCCTCAGCCTCAGCCTGCCTCAGCCTCAGCCTGCCTCAGCCTCAGCCTCAGCCTGCTTCAGCCTCAGCCTCAGTCTGCCTTCAGCCTCGGCCTCAGCCTCAGCCTGCCTCAGCCTCAGCCTGCATCAGCCTCAGCCTCAGCCTCAGCCTGCCTCAGCATCAGCCTGCCTCAGCCTCAGCCTCAGCCTGCCTCAGCCTCAGCCTCAGTCTGCTTCAGCCTCAGCCTCAGTCTGCCTTCAGCCTCGGCCTCAGCCTCAGCCTGCATCAGCCTCAGCCTGCCTCGGTCGCAGCATCAGCCTGCCTCAGCATTCAAAATGTGGCCCAGGAACGGAGTTCTGGGAACTAGAAGAACACGAAGTGGCCTACAGTTGGCTCCGGGCATTCAAAATGTGGCCCGGGAATGGAGTTCTGGGAACTCGAAGAGCACGAAGTGGCCTACAGTTGGCTCCGGGCATCCAAAATGTGGCCCGGGAATGGAGTTCTGGGAAGTCGAAGAGCACGAAGTGGCCTACAGTTGGCTCCGGGCATCCAAAATGTGGCCCAGGAATGGAGTTCTGGGAAATCGAAGAGCACGAAGTGGCCTACAGTTGGCTCCGGGCATTGAAGATGTGGCCCGGGAATGGAGTTCTGGGAGGTCGAAGAGCACGAATTGTGTGACTGTTGGCGAAAAGCGAGCCCGGCTCTGTTCCCGGTTCTCCAGAATGTGGCCCGGGAATGGAGTTCTAGGAGGTCGAAGAGCACGAAGTGTGTGATTGTTGGCGAAAAACGATTCCCGGTTCTCCTCCCCGGCACCCGCCCAGACCCCCCTGAGGAGTCATGATGCTCTCTTTTGACACCACTAGAAACCTATCAGCAAAAACTGTTAGGTAAAAAGAACAACAACATCAACAACAACAATCAACACCCGCAACACCAACAAACAACAACAACAACAACAACAACGACGACAACAACAACAACAACAACAACAGCAACAACAACAACAACATCAACAACAACAACAACAACACCAGCACCAACACCAACACCAACACCAACACCAACACCAACACCAACGACACCACCACCAAAAACAACATTGTCAACATCAGCATTAACAACTGTCAGTTTAAGTATGTTCGCTTTTATCTGCTCGCGTGCCATGCAACACGTATATCCCAAACCTTCGATACCCACCCTCGTTCGTCGTCGACCGTATCCCGTTGGGTGTATACCTTTTTACCTGCAGCGTGTATGTCGGTAGCGCCTAAGGCAGGGGAAGGGAGGACGGATGGAAGGGACAAGGAGGAGAGAGGAGGATGAAGCACGAGAGAGAGTAACATGAAGGGGGCCAGGAACAGAAAAAACGTAGCAGAACAAGACGGGCAGGTCGGGTGGGTAGACCGCAACAGGCGGGCCCAGGCGGCCAGGTCGAGCAGGCGGGTTACTGAAGCGTGCGTCCTGCATGAATCGCGAGGATGCCTTGAGCGACAGCGCCAATTCAAACAAACTCGTGAGGTAATCCAAAACGAGAGTGTGATTTCTGAGCGTCGAGGGCGCGGAGCCTGAGTCAAGTGCGAGGAAGTCCCAAGCGACAGCGCGACTCCTGAGTGTCAAAAGCGCGACGCCTGAATCAATTTCGAGTAGGTACCAGGCAAGAGCGCGATTCTTCGACACGATGCAAGGAAGTCCTTAGCGAGAGCGCGATTCTTCAAGCACTTGCAGGAAAGAGCAAGGCGGGAGCCGTTGTTGTTGCTGTTGTTGCTGTTGTTGTAAATTGGGGGCCAGGGGCACAGTTTGAGCAGGAAGATCTCCCGAGTTAAATCACAGCGAGCCCCGGGAGAGGCCCTTCAATTGAAACAAACATGTATGTTACGCGAATGCGTGGGTTCTCACTATTCGCCGGCAAGTCTCGGGCGAGAGCGCGATCCCTAAGTAAATTATGAGGAGGCCCCAGGCGAGAGGCGATTCCTGAATGACGAGGGCGTGGCGCTTGAATACATTGTGAGGAAGTCACAGGCGAGAACGCGATTTCTTGAATACATTGCAAAGGTCAGCGAGGACGCGATTCCTTTTTTTTTGTTTGTGAAATCCGAGGAAGTACAAGGCGGGAGCCGTTGTCGATATATCCCGGGGGCAAGTGCGGCAAGGGGCGAAGTTTGACCAGGAGTACTTGCCCTGAAGAACACCAGGGTGCGAGCCCCAGGAGGGGCACTTCAATCAAACACAATCAGACGTGGTGGGATCAACATTACTTGTTTTTCAGTAGTGAGAGTTCAACAACAACATCGACGACGACAACAACAACGACCACGACATCGACAACAACAACAACACCAACAACAAAAGCACCAGCAGTCGCAGCATCAACAATAACATAACACCAACAACCAGAACACCACCGCCAACAACCACAACACCATCAACCGCAACAATAGCAGCACAACAGCACAACAGCAGCAGCGACCACAACAATAGACACAACACCAGCAACAGCACCAACAACAACACACACGACAACGACGACAACCACAACATAACAACCCCACAAGCAACACCGACACCACCACCAACAACACAGCACAACAACACTACCAACAACACCCACGGCATCATCGACATCAACAGCATCAACACCACCAACAACACACAATCATCACCAGCACCGACAACAACAACAGCGACAGCAACACCATTAACACCGACAACATCAATAGCAGCAACAGCAGTACCATCAACACCACCAACCACAGCCGCAATAGCAACAACGTCAGCAACATCGACTACACCGGCAACAACTGCAACACCAACAACACCAGCAGCAACAACAGCACTACTACGACTACCACTACTACCACTACTACTACTACTACTACTACTACTACTACTACTACTAGTACTACTACTACTACTACTACTACTACTACTAGTACTACTACTAGTACTACTAGTACTACTACTACTACTACTACTACTACTACTACTACTACTACTACTACTACTACTACTACTACGACTACTACTACGACTACTACTACTACTACTACTACTACTACTACTACTACTACTACTACTACTACTACTACTACTACTACTACTACTACTACTACGACTACTACTACTACTACTACTACGACTACTACTACTACTACTCTTACTGCTACTACTCTTACTACTACTACTACTACTACTACTACCAACAACAACATCAGCAATACTTATATCAACATTAACATCACTTACAACAACAACAGCAACAACAACACCACCACCAACAACAACAACAGCAACAGCAACACCAACAACAACCACAAAACCGTGTGAAGGGCGAGGCTGGCAGAGGGCCTCAGGGACGAGTTCTTCTGGCTCGGCAAGGGCCCTCACGCTGAAGCACATTTGGGGAGCAACCTCCTCCCTCCTCCCCTCCCCCCTCCTCCCTCTTCTCCCTTCTCCTCCTCCTCCCTCCCTCCCTCCCTCCCTCCCTCCCCTCCCCTCCTCCTCCTTCTCCTCCTCCTCCTCCTCTCCAGGCGACGGCTTCGCCCACCTCTCGGCGGCCCACCTCTCGGCGGCCCCCGAGGCGGCGGAGCCCGAGGGCTCGGCGCTCACGCGGGCCCTCCTCCGCGCCTCGGGCGCGGAGGCGACCGTGCGGCTGCTGGGTACGCGGGGCTCCTACCCGGGGCAGCCCCCGAGCCGCGAGGCGGCCGGCTGCGCGCACGAGCGGCCCAGGAGGAGGAGGAGGAGGAGGAGGAGGAGGAGGAGGAGGAGGAGGAGGAGGAGGAGGAGGAGGAGGGGGAGGAGGAGGAGGAGGAGGAGGAGGAGGGGGAGGGGGAGGGGGAGGAGGAGGAGGAGGAGGAGGAGGAGGAGGAGGAGGAGGAGGAGCCCTGGCGCCCTGGCGCCCTGGCTCGCCCATAGCCCTACCAAATAATGTCATATAAGAACCTGTTGTGGTCTCTTCGAGATGTTCTTGGAACATTTCTGGCGGAGTCTGTCGCTATTCTATCACATCGGGTTTCTGTTCTAAGAATATTTTCTTGTTCTTAGAACGTGTTTGGATTCTAAGAACATTTCTTGGTAGGACTATAGGAATGCCGGGACGGTCGGTACCTGCTCAAGTATAGCCACGACCCCAGGTATGAGAGGAGGAACAGGTATCCATACCTCTACCCTTCGGCCGTTTTCCCCTTTTTGGGGCCTCCTCGCAGGAGCTCGTCGCCACCGCCGGATGCGCCTCGAAATCCTGGTCAGAACGCGCCCCAGGAGAGGTCCGGGGAGTAGCGGTATCGGTACCTGTTGGTTTCCCCAAGGTAAGGGGACCCGGTTAGTGGTGGGGCCTCGGAGCCCCCAAATTTGCCAAAATCACTAAGCCAGGTCTGCCGCAGCTTGTGCTTTTTCGGGTGACGGCAGTTCTGGTCAGTGGAAGGGGGCGGGGGGGCCGTCCCTTGGTGCACACCAGTAAGCCAGGTCCCATGAAACCCAGTTCTGCCAACGCCCGAGTCACCCCAACATGCTTATACTATATGTTCCTCGACCCCCTCAGGGCCGCCGCGCGCACCGAGAAAAATGTATAGCACCCCGCAGGTGCGGACAAGAGTGAGGGGGCGGTGGGGACGTCGGCAGTTTGCGAGGCTCTGGAGAAGCCCGCCGCAGACGCAAAAGTTTCACACATTATGCAACGAGCCCTTACAGGCGCCGATTTGGTTCGTTAAACCAATGTGGGTAGGTCGCGGGTGGGTCACGGGTGGGTCGCGGGTGTAGAGGGCAGAATATCCATCCCATAATCAGAGTGAGGGGGCTGAACCGAACGGTCATTCACTGTCCCTGGGTGCGTGGTTGAAGTGGAATTCCGCAATGCGGATTATTACTGTTTCTTATCATTGTTACTATCAATATTATTACTACTGATATTATTATTATTAGTAAAACTGTTATTATGAATAATAATACTATTATTATTATTACTATTGTTGTTGTTGGTGGTGGTGCTGGTGGTGGTGTTGGTGGTTGGTGGTGTTGGTGTTGGTGTTGTTGTTGTTGGTGGTGGTGGTGGTGTTGGTGCTGGTGCTGGATTTGGTGTTGGTGTTGTTGCTGTTGCTGTTGCTGTTGCTGTTGCTGTTGCTGCTGCTGCTGCTGTTGCTGTTGCTGTTGCTGTTGCTGTTGCTGTTGCTGTTGCTGTTGTTGTTGTTGTTGAACACTATTTCTTCTTAAGAATAATTATTGTTGGGACCCCTGGTGCGCGACCCCCCCGCCGCGCCTAGGCCGCAGCCTCATTTTCATCATTTTCGTGAGGAAGTCTCAGGCAAAACGGGTTGGTCCGGACCCGGTTGTGTTGTTACGATCGGTTTTCCCTTGCAAAAAATAAGCTAAAGTGGACATTTCTTGTTCAAACATAACCAAACTTCAAGAATCCCTTGCAAAAAAATCAGGTAAAGTGGACATTCGCGCGCGCAAGACGAAATCCTTCCAAAACCTTAGTTTTCGTAGCGATTTTAACATAAAAACATCAAAACACCAATGGTTTTTCAAAAAAACAAAAAAAAAATGTCTAAATTTCATCCCGCGCGCTCTTGCGGATTCGTAGGAAACCCAATACTTTTTAATCATTTCTGTCAAACGGGCTTTTGCGAGCAACTTTTTCGACCTTCTGCAACAACGGTTGCGCACCTGCCAGGGCCATCATCCCTGTCAAATAATACCATGCGGGACACATTCGTTTTTTCTTCGCGCGCGCACGCCGTCGTCGTCGGCCGCGGGGCCCTGAATAGTAGCCACGGTCGTCCGCATGCCACGAAGTGAAGTGTCCGAACGTCATAGGGCGGGAAGCTGGGTGTGGGTGGTGGCGAAGAGTCGTTTGGAAATTTGGTAGAGCTTGAACCGGCCCCCCCACAAAGTGGGGGTATTGCCCGCCTCCTATGAAAACCCTGGCACTGGTGAGAACGGTGTGTCCCCACGTGCTAGTAATTGTTGCTGTTGTTGTTGTTGTTGTTGTTGTTGTTGTTGTTGTTGAATTCTCACTTCTGAAGAATAATTATTGTTGATCCCCCTCACCGGCGCTTACTGTTTTTCTCAATCAAAGTGCGCCCCTCGACACTCGCACCCTGTTTTTTGACAGGGAAAGTCTTCCTGCTCAAACTTGCCCCCTGGCCCCCAGGTTAAAACAACAACGGCTCCCGCCTGAGGCTTCCTTACAATTTAGCCAGGACCCCCGCTCCCGCCCCAGACTTTCCTCGCATTTTATTCAGAATCGCGCTCTCGCTTGGGACTTCCTTACAAATTATTCCGGAATCGCTCTCCCGGCGCTCTGGAGTCGCGCTCTCGCTGGAGACTTGCTTGCAACTTACTGAAGAATGGCCTTGCGTTGGAATTTCTTGCAATTTGCCCAAGCGCCGCGCTCCCGACACCCAGGCACCCAGGAGTCGCGCCCGTTGTGGCCCCATGTGCATGCCCTTCGTGGCCCCGCTGTCGCCACCTGTGTCCCTCTCACTGTCCTACGTGGCCCAGTTGCTACCCTCAGTGGCCCCATAGTTGCCTTCTGTGGCCCCGCATTATCTGCACTTCGTGGCCCCCTGTCGGTCGCGCTCTTCGTGGGCCTATACGCATTCCATTCGTGTCCCCGCTGTCGCCCTTCGTGCCCTACTTCGTGTCCTTGTGGCCCTGCTGTCGTTCTCTCTCGCTTTCGCCAATCGTCGCCGTCGTCGCCGTCGCCTTCGACGTCGTCGTCGTCGTCGTCGTGGTTGGTCCCCTGTCCGTCCCTCTTGGGGTCGGGTCGACGGTCCGCGGCCGCCCCGCCGACGCTGCCGCTGGCCAGGCCGACGGTCCCCGGCCGCCCCGCCGCTTGCCGGGGCCCAGCCTGCAGGGAAGAAAGGTATACCCCCCAAAAGGGGTTCGATCGAAGACGAAAAGGGTGGGTTACGAGGGTTTGGGAAATACGCGTTATTGGACACTCGAGCATATAAGGGCGAACAGTCTCAAAATGAGTGTTGTTGTTGTTGTTGCTGTTGCTGTTGTTGTTTTGTTGTTGTTGTTGTTGTTGTTGTTGTTGTTGTTTTGTTGTTGTTGTGGTGTCGTTGTTGTTGTTGTTGTTTTGTTGTTGTTGTTGTGGTTGTTGTTGTTGTTGTGCTGTCGTTGTTGTTGTTTTGTTGTTGTTGTTGTTGTTGTTGTGGTTGTTGTTGTTGTTGTTGGTGGTGTTGGTGTTGTTGGTGTTGGTGTTGTTGTTGTTGTTGTTGTTGTGGTTGTTGTGGTTGAACATTATTTATTCTAAAGAATAATTATTGTTGGGCCCCCTGGTGCGCGCCCCCCCTGCGCCGCCTAGGCCGCAGCTACATTTTCATCATTTTCGTGAGGAAGCCTCAGAAAAGAGGGTGTGTACAGGATCCGGTTGTTTTGTTGTAATCCGCTTTCCCTTGCAAAAAACAATAGAAAATGACATTTCTTGTTCTAATATAATCAAATTTCAAGAATCCCTTGCAAAAAATAAGGTAAAGTGGACATTCGCGCGCGCAAGACGAAATCCTTCCAAAACCTTAGTGTTCGCAGCGATTTTAACATAAAAACATCAAAAAACCAATGGTTTTTCAACAAAAAATTGTCAAAATTCATCCCGCGCGCTCTTGCGGATTCGTAGGAAACCCAACACTTTTTAAACATTTCTGTCAAACGGGCTTTTGCGAGCAACTTTTTCGAACTTCTGCGACAACGGTTGCGCACCTGCCAGGGCCATCATCCCTGTCAAATAATACCATGCGGGACACATTCGTTTTTTCTTCGCGCGCGCACGCCGTCGTCGTCGGCCGCGGGGCCCTGAATAGTAGCCACGGTCGTCCGCATGCCACGAAGTGAAGTGTCCGAACGTCATAGGGCGGGAAGCTGGGTGTGGGTGGTGGCGAAGAGTCGTTTGGAAATTTGGTAGAGCTTGAACCGGCCCCCCCACAAAGTGGGGGTATTGCCCGCCTCCTATGAAAACCCTGGCACTGGTGAGAACGGAGTGTCCCCACGTGCTAGTAATTGTTGTTGTTGTTGTTGTTGTTGTTGAATATTATTACTTCTAAAGAATAATTATTGTTGGGCCCCCTGGTGCACGCCCCCCTCGCCGCGCCTAGGCCGCAGCCACATTTTCATCATTTTCGTGAGGAAGTCTCAGGCAAAACGGGGGAGTCCGGATCCGGTTGTTTTGTTGACGCCCGCTTTCCCTGTCAAAAAACAATATAAAATGACATGTATTGTTCTAACATAACCAAACTTCAAGAATCCTTTGCAAAAAATGACACGAAGTGCACACTCGCGCGCGCAAGATGAAATCCTTCCAAAACCTTAGTTTTCGTAGCGATTTTAACATACAAACATGAAAACCCAATGGTTTTTCAAATTTTTTTTTCAAAAATTCATCCCGCGCGCTCTTGCGGATTTCTTAGGAAACCCAATACTTTTTCAACATTTCTGTCAAACGGGCTCTTGCGAGCAACTTTTTCACGTGCTTCGAACTTCTGCAACAACGGTTGCGCGCATGCCAGGGCCATCATCCCTGTCAAATAATACCATATGGGACACATTCGTTTTTTCTTCGCGCGCGCACGCCGAAATCTTCAAACACCATTGGGTTTCTTAAGAATTTCAGCACCGCTGACAACCATCGGGACAACCATCGGGACAACCATCGGGATAACCATCGGAACAACAATCGGGACAACCATCGGGACAATC